GTTCATATTAAGTATCTTTCAAAGTAATAGAAGCTATACAGTTAGAAGTAGTTTCTCCAGTATAATTGAAATCTCCTTTTTAGACGTCTTATTCCATTTTAAAATTCAACTATGTTTAACCCTCAGACTTTAGATATTTAATTCGGCTAACAGCATTAGGCTACTTTCACCTTCTTTGATTAAAAAGAAAGAAGGCCTCCAAACTTATTAACTTTAGATTTGCTCCCATTTTGCTTCTAGTGGTGTGAATGTGAAGTGGTACATATGTCCATATTTTTGTGAAGACTTGCATTTGATCTGAAAGCAAAATGTCTCAAAAGAGCAAGAAACCCCACTGACAACTCTGATTCACGAAAGTTAGAGAACTTTAGTTGTCAGTTTGCCCCCAAAGAGCCACAAAAACTTGGAAGGCATATTATCAAAATGTGGCAAGATCAGTGGTTAGCTTTTTATTTTCCACCATTTTATGACTGGGAAGTCAGAAAAGGAAGCTTAAAATTTTAATGCTTATCCAAAGAATACTTTTAAAGTCCATCAGATGGTATTGAACCAAATTAGTAGTAACAAATCTTTTTAGAACATTAACATGATTAGAACTCTGTAACTTGAATTCACTTCTTTCACCCTGGATATTTAGTGCTTCTATTATCTTTGGAGATAACAATGTGAGTTCTACTATTTATACTATTCTAAATGCTTTTATTCTTAGTGAAACCCATAGTAGTGGCTTCTGTAATTACTGTGACAGATTGAGGGGAGGAGAAGATAAGTCTTCCCCTGAAAATCCCTATTTTAGGAGAAATTAAGTGTCAGCTTACTACATAGAGGAAGGGGTAGACAGATAAAGAGAATAAAGATGTGTCATTTTTCAGTTGTGTCTGATTCTTCATGACCTCATTTGGGGTTTTCTTGGCAGAGATACTGGAGTGGTGTGCCGTTTCCTTCTCCAGCTCATTTTACAGATGAGGAAACTGAGGCAGACTAGGTTAAGTGAATTGCCCAGAGTCACACAGCTAGTAAATGTCTGAGGCCTGCTTTGAACTCAGGAAGATGGGTCTTCCTGACTTCAGGCCCACCACTCTGTCTAGCTGCCCATAGAATGAAAACTAATTATCAGTAAAAATTCAGTCTTTTTTTCTTGAATAGTCTGATATAATAAATGAATAACTTTGAACCACTTGATATCTTTGAGGAAAAACCTCTGAAATCCATTATTAGAGATAGATAACTTTCTTATGCTCCATACCCACCAGACCTGTCCCTCTCTTCCTCCCTATTTGAACTAATGTTCCATCAAGGACACTAATGATAATTCTTTCATTGGGAGTGTTCTTGCTTCTTAAAACATACAGTAATACATATTACAAAATCTCATCAATTTGGACTCATTAATTCTGAATGTATATTTAGATGGAGGCTATGTGAAACTATGAAAAAAGTTTACTGAGAAAATAGAATATATGATACTGGGGTGTGGGGTATAGTTTGCCTATTAAGAGAATAAATTTTTCCACTGTTTTTGGGCATGTGTGTGTACTATGGGATTATAAATTTATAACTAGAAGGGATTGTAGAGGTCCTGTAGTCTAGCTTCCTTATAGAAGAGGAAGGTGAGTCCCAAAGTGCTGAAATGACTTGTCTGGGATCACACAAGTGGCATAACTGAAACTCAGGTCACCTAACTGCAAATTTAGTGCTCTTCCATAGCACCTTTTTACCGCTACTGATATGTTAAATATAAATTATTCTACGTAGTTCCCCCAAGGACCTCTACTTAACCATCCATAATTTGTTGTCCCAGTTGAGCTAGTGAATGTTTTAATAGAACTGTATTTCTTTTTTTTTTCTGGTTAGGCATTTTACTCATTTAGATTGGCCATCTCCCTTATTTTTCCACAGTAGTGAAGGCTTTCCATATCATTCTGTTTTTATCCAATCATTTATGCTATGAGGTGGGACAGATAGTATTATCTACATTTTTCTGATTGAAAAAGCAAGGTGCAATGACAGTAAATAACTTAATCAAGGTCATACAGCTGAGTGGATATTAGATGTCCTCATTCTCAGCCCAGTACTATTTTCATTAGGAAAGCAGAACAGTGTAATAATAGAATGCTAATAAAAATTTTCATTGGGATTGTTTAGGTTAATAAAATATCAATAACAAAGAAAGGGCAGAGGGGTTGTATAATGGGTCAATGGAGATTGTAGATTTAGCTAAATAATATATATTCTACCCTGTTTTGACAGTGGGGTCCCTGCGGATATAGATGTTGGAACTGGTTATCATTGTATTATCTAGACAGATCAGTATTCCCTAGGGCCTCTCAGGAATAGTAGAATACTTTTCTTCATTCCTCTTTCTAGGAATGATGTTACTTTTGTCCAGTTGCAAGTAGGTATATTCTTTTGTAGAAGAAAAGTAAAGCAAACAGAATGAATGCATCCTTGGTGCTGGAGTTTTCCAAAGTGTAAGGAAGCACATACGGTGGTGGTGGTTGTGGTGGTAAGGTGGTGGTAGTAGCAGTAGTGGTAGTGGTAGTGACAACTAACATTTATGTAGTGCTTAGTATATGCCAGGCACTGTGATAAACATAAAGGACTGGTTTAAAAAGAGTAGCAAAATTTGGTTGATGAGATTATACAGTACATCGAATAGACATATCTAATTATAGAATGAACTAGGTTTGGCTTCTAGAAAAAGGAATAGAAGGAAAGTAGTAGTTTTTGGATATCCTCTCTTGGCACCCCGTGCCCTCCCCCATTGGAGAGCTCGAACACTGTGACAGTCACTTTTCTTGACAACGTATTTTTCTTTTAAAGTGCCATATACTGACATCTTTCTCATCACCGTATCTGAGTTGAATAATTTCTGATTACTAAGATTTCATACTTTTCTAATGAGTCTTTGGGGTAGTTTTATAATTGTGCTATTTATATCATCCCTAGGAACATTACAATGGCTAGGTGGTGGTGCTCTCCTTGGGTATTAATTCCTAGGCTCACAGTGCTACTAATAATTCCAGCCCTCAGTGTGTTCCGTTGCTTAGGGATTCATGCCGTATGAATGAAGAGGTCCAGATTTTGGAGGGGAAGAAGGGTTGCCTTTGTTAAAGGCAACTGGGATAGGTAAGGTAAGCTGCTCTCATATTTACTACTTCATGCAATATGTATTTTTCACATGCAGATTTATCTAGAGACCACTGTGTAAAACATCTAAAATATTAGTCAGAAATAAAACTGTATTAATAATGAATCTTTATTTGGGAGTTTTCACTTTCTCTTTTGTGGACTGCAAACATTCAACTCCTTCCTGTTCAACTGATCTTTCAAATTATTTTGCATTATGTATTTCTATGCGACATTCTTTGAATTAGTATGTTTTCTCTTCTTTAAAAACACTTTACCTCAGTTTTCAAACGGTCACTTGAAAATAGATACGTATTTAATCCAAGACTCTGCACCTTTAAATGTAATAGTTTTGAGTGACAGTAGGTGGTTCGGTGGATAGATTGCCAGGCCTGGAGTAAGGAAGTCTTTCAGACTTCACATCTGACCTCAGACACTTCCTAGCTGTGTGACTCTGGGCAAGTCGCTTAACCCAGTTTGCCTCAGTTTTCTTATCTGTAAAATGAGCTGGAGGAGGAAATAGCAAAACATTCCAGTATCTTTGCCAAGAAAAACTCCAGATGGAGTCATGAAGAGTCAGACATGACTAAAACAACAATAAGATTATTAGACCACTTAAATTATAGAAATAAACATTTGAGAGAGAGAATGGCAGCCTACATGTTCTGGGTACAGATGACAGGGTAAAGGTAGAGGGAAAAGATGGAATTTTCTATCTTCTTCCTAGACACAGTTTGCCCAATGTCTTCATGCTAATCTTTGACACACTCCACTATGGTTTGGTCTTCCTGTAAGTACTTCAAAATAACAACTCTCTTATTTCTCCCTTCTCCCCTACATTAAACTTTCTCAGTATAGACCATCCTGGCCTAGATAGATGTTGAAATTGAAGATATTTGATTAAAGGAATTCATATCAAAACTCTTTGACTAATACCAAAAATATTTATTTTTAAAAGGAAATCTTTTTAGTGGACCTTTGGTGGGATTATAAATCCAGTGGAGGAGAGATATTTTGAGGAGGAGTGGAAGGTAGATCTTCCTGGTTCTTGAATCATGTCATTTTGAAGTTGGTTCCCTTAAACTGATTTTGGTTTTCATAGCTTATTCATCCTTCTTCCCCTTAAAAACCTACAGATTATCTAAAAATTCAGTGAATTTTTAAAAATCCTAACTGCGGACCCCTACTGCTCTTAACACCCCCTCAAAAAAAAAAAAGACATCAGTCCAGTTGGGTAGAAAGAAAAGCCTGTTTGATTTGTCCAAGTCTTGTCCTTTCCAGACAAAAAAATTAGTATAGCTTCCTGCTCTTGGTAAAGTTTTGCAGTCTACAAAAGACTTGAATAAAGAATGGACTATTCAAAGCACAGGAAGTCTTAAATTAGGGTGTCTAAATTAAGACTTAGTATGCTACTTTTAAAAGGTTGTTGATCTATGATTCCTACAATGAAATATGGAAAGTTGTTTTCGAAGCTTTGTAGAAGAAACATATATTAAACCAGACCAGCCAAATATATTTCCTAAATTTGGGGCTCAATCATAGTATCTTAGAGCTCGAAAGGAATCTTTAAAATCATCTAGTCTAATCCCTTTGTTTTGCAGATGAGGAAACTGAGGCCCAAGGAAGGGAAGTGGCTTGGCACTTGTTTACTAGCATATTGCCTTTTCACATAAAAGGAAATATTTTAAAATTCATACTCATACTCAAAGGTAAAATTCTGTTCAAATGATTTAAAAGTACAAAGCATTGTAAAAAACACTTAAATATTTTACTTTAGAACCCATTTTTAAAATTCTAGCATCCCTTAAAATACTTATTTCATTCTCACTAGAAATACTTTTGGCATTTAGGCCATATAACACACTTCTTTCCATTTTTTTCCACCCAACAACAGTGGGCATTGGGCAAAATTATGCAATGCAGTGTTCCATACAGCTGGTTGGTGGAAGAGCCAGCCAGAACACAGGTCTTCTGACTCCCAGGCTTGAGCTCTTTTGCCTCCTTCTGAACCTCTGTGTGTCTGCCTGTAAAACAGCAGTTCTCATCCTGTCCCCTGGCCCTACCTCTCAACAATGGTGTTGCACCCTGTAGGTGCTCTGTGCACAAACAGCCTACTGGTGCAGAAGATCCTAGGAAGCCCCAGGAGCCACTCAGGAAAGGAAAGTTGCTTTCCAAATATAAGGTAGGGATAGGTGAGTGGTGGGCAACTGTCCTAATGGGCCAGAGATGGAGGGTGGAGGGATCTAGTAGGGATGGAGCTACTGGAAATGTTCAAAGGCTGGATAGCTACTTATCAAGGATATTAGAGAAGGGATTCCTATGTAGGATATGTTTTCTCAATAATTCTGTGGCAGGTAAGGGTTTGGATCAGATAACCCTAAAGATCTCTTCCAACTCAGATTCTGTGATTCTTTATTATTCTAAAGTTGGTATCAGTAGGTGACATTCTAGAGTGAATAGAGTTACCTGTAATTTAATGGAAAGCACATGTTAGTACTATTTTTATCACCCATTACCTAAATATTCATCTGTCCAGAATTTTTAGGTGCCTACAGCAGAATATAGCCCTGATTTTATAGTAGATGTTTTATAAGTGCTCTCACAATTGCAGAAATACTTTTAAAACTGGTGAAATGATGAGGAAGATGATTAGATTCCTATTTGTACCTGACACTATGCTATATTGTACAAAATGATTGAATAGACAGACCTTCCCATCTTTAGACCATTATTCCTAACAGCTAAATGATTCTAGTGGCACGTTTTCCCTAAAGAATATAAGAATATTCAAATCTAGAAATAAAAGGGCTTAAAGAGCTGCAGATTGCAGTTTGTAGAGGCATGGTCCAGAGTATGACTGCCTCAGAACTATTGAGAAAATGTATACTATATTTAAAAAAAAAGTAATAATTGCAGCCAGGCCATGCTAAATAAAAAAAAACCTACCTTCTATTTTTGTGAAATATGCTTCTGTTAAGTTTTTTTATTGTCCTCAATTTTTAATCAAAGGCTATTGACCTTTTTTCTTAGACTTAGTGGAGAAAGCTTCCTGATTTAAAAATGAAAATAAGAGTATTCTCATTTGAAGATCCAGTTAGAATAATGTATATTTAATTGACCTGGAGAGTACAACACAAAGTTAGCTACTTTCTTTGTGGGATCTTAAGACTCTAGGTTATAACACTAAGTTTCTCCTTAGTTGTCTCAGTTCAGGAATTTGGATAGGAATTTTTTTAAAAAACTAATAATCATCTTTAAGCATCATAGCTTTCTGAATGCTTAATAATATTTGATAATATACTTTTAATTGTCCCCATTTGGATTAAGGAAAACAAAACTTTATCACATGATTGACATTTCTAAACCAATTAGTTTTCCTGGATATAAGTAAACTTTGAGTTCCATTATTGTTTCATTGAATACATGTCCTCTGGTACGTCATCACTTCTCAGCTTCTCCAGTGTTCTCATTATCCATAATGTTACCAAGCAGTTTTTGGCTGACCATGTTAGTGTATCTGTAACTTCATGATTCTATGTTAGTCTCCTTTTTGTACTTTATGTACTGTGTGTGCCAGGTTCTTCTGATAGAAATTTATTTAAAGGAGCATTTTTAGTGAAGTTACTAATTTCACTATTATAATTTATAGCATGTATTACTTTACTTGGGTCTGATAGACCAAATGCACTTGAATTGGAAGCAAGCTCTATGTCTGGGCCCTTGAAAGTTCATGCTTGACTGTAAAGGGTGTTGAATTTTAGAAGGTCATAGTAGCATTCCATTTGACAGGACAATCAACTATATTTCTGCCATCTCATTATGGAAATTTCTGTTTAATGGTAAGGCAGCCTAAAACATATGCCTGATAAGCTGGGCTGCTTGCCTTCTAAAACATTGTAAGTTTTGAGCTGATTCTGGTCAACCATCATTTCACAGTAACAAAAAAAAAATTGCTTAGCCCTTTGTTCTTTTTTACCTTATTAAAAACCTCAAAGGCCCTTCAAGCCAGTCCATCTGAGGGCTGGTGAAGGGGGCTAAATTTGACCCTTCAGGAATGGTGGCTTCAAGACTTGCCACAGTGTTAGTCATTAAAGAATCAGTGTTGCCAGAGACTTGTATTCGTTGTAAATCTGAGAGCCATTCCTTATCAAGTCATGACATTGTACTGTAATAAAAAAAAAGTTGCCCAAGTGACAATGTGTCTTTGCTGAATGGATTTTTCTTGCACCATCTGTTTGGCAATTGTATTTTTTGTTGTTGCTCTCATTTGAAATGTGCTGATGATCTTATTTTTATTCCATAGCATTGAACAGATGGGTTGATTATTCTTTTCAGATATTAATAAGGCAGCGGAAAGAAGAAATATGAATACGGCTCCAGCAAGACCCAGCCCAGCACGAAGGTAAAGTACCCTGAAGCAGCGAATTACCCTGGGAGAGTCGGGCTTTGGGGAGTTAAGCCAAACTTCATCCACCAAGTGTCTCTTCTTCCCTTTCCCCCCAACAAATCAGAGGCGCTCAAGTGAACGATAAGAACATGAACCATGTGTGAAGGGCCTTGCTGCTTTTTTTAAACATCAGGAGATGCAGAGGAAGCTTTGTGTGTCCAGTGCCAAACCCAGCAGCGAAGTTCAGCGTGCAACGAATGTTGCGCGGGATTTGAAGAGGACAAACTACTGTTTGTCCCTGGCTCATGTATCACTGGCAAGCAAACCTCTGCATCTATAAGGATTGCTTGAGGTCTTCAGTGTGTCCCATGCTGCCCTACTGCACAGTTATCACTGTTTCATCTCTTCATTCTTAAAGGCTGCCAGTACAGACTGGTTTTATGAAAAACGCAGCTTAAAAGGGTGCTGTCCCTGTGTCACACAATCTTTTTTTCATGCACATTTGGGTTACCGACTTGGAAATGAAATCCACCAGCCCTGTCAAAAGCTCCTTTGGAAATGCAGGGCATTTTCCCCACTCCGTTTTACTCTGGGTGTATACAAAAGATATGGTCTTGATGTGACTCTTCAGAATATCGCATATGTTGCTATCTTTGTCAAAAGGAGAAACTTTAATATTGTTATCCCTTCCACCAGAGAAGGATATATTGTATCCTCTCTGCCTCTACAGCTCACAAGTGCAGGCTGTATTTTCAGTTTTGTTGTGGGTTGCAGATGTATTCGTGCCTGATGACTCTAAAAGAGTCAAATGACTACTCAATATGGATTTTTGACTTTGGACCTAAGTTAAAATACAAGTTTACTCTAGTAAACTGAGTACCGCTATTATTTCAACACTGGAAGGGATACAGTGTATCTTTGCCTATACAGTTAACAACATGGGTCACTACTTTGCGTACCTTAGCTTAACTGAACAATTACATTGAAAATACCATTTGGGGTAGAAGGTTCTATGTATTATCAGCTTCACTCACAGATGGAATGATTGCTATGTGGTTTTGCGTATACTTATGCTCGTGTCATGTGTGGAGAATATCAGTAGATTCTGTATGTGCCTATGTGATACGTTTAAAGCACTCTCTGGGTGCATGGTTAGCTTCAGCATTCAGGTCTTTTTCCATTTTGATTGTTCTGCAAAGTAAAGTGACATAAATACAACTACATTGCTACTGTCAGATCTGTGCACCCTTGTGAATTGAGTGCAGAGTGTTAGCAAATAGTCTGGTCATGCCTATAGATCTAGACAGATACATTTGTATGCATAGTCCCACTTGTTCAGATACCTTCACTCCACTGTAGCCACACACAAGGAGTGGTGCTACTTTTGATCTTGTCACCATCCAAAAGTGTTCCACTGCTTCTGTCATTAACACCTATGTTCTCCTCTCAGGTCAAAATTGCTTATCCTTCCATTTCTCCCTGTGTCTTACCTGTCTTGAACCTGTTCTCCATCAGCTAGTCCCTCCACTGCATTTTTCCTAGGCTCTAACCTCTGCTTTGGCCTTTTCTTGTTTAAAAATCTTGACCCTATAGTTAACCATTCATTTTGATACTGTCCTTTACCCTTAAGTCTCTTCCTCCTTATCCTTCTACTACTAATCCCTTTTTTAACCCCAACTCAAGATTACTCCCACCATACACTTTTTCTCCCAAATACTTCTTGCTGAATAATGATGAAATCATAAAACTATGCTGAATAGGTCTACTACGAATTTGTGTTATCCAGTCTCAACTGGACCCTTGCCAATAGTCTCCTTAATCTTTTCCTAGTTGACTGTCCTACTCCTCACATAGTCTGTTCCAGACTTTGTCTTCTGTCCTCAAGCTATCTACACAATTCCCCCCCCAAAAAAGACCCTTCTCCTAAACAGAGGATCTTGACAAATACTTAACCAAAAAAATTAAGTCCATCTGTTGCAAGCTTTTACCTCACCCCAACTCTGTACTCCAGATCACCTCAATATCTTTTCTTATTCTCTTATTTTCTTCTTTCATCTTAAAGGAAATAGTCTTTTTTCCTAGCAAATGCCAGCCCCTCTATTTCTACTCTTGGTCCTATCTCCTTCCTCTTCCAGAAGCTTGCCCCTTCTGTCATTCTTTTTGTCTCCTTAATCTTCAATTTCTAGTTACCCATCTCCTCAAACTATCATTCTATACCTCTCTTTTTTATAGTCAAACTTCTGTTAAAAAAAAGAAAAACTATATTCACTGTATCCATTTTCTTACATCATACCTCTCAACCTGTTGTAATCTAGCTTCCAAACTCATCACTAAATGGAAACTTCTCCCTTGAAGTTACCATTCATTCACCTTTTAACTGCCATATCTAATGGCTTTCAGTTCTTATCCTTCTTAATATCTCTTCAAAGTTGAACTGTCCACGCTCACTCCTCCATGGGCTTTATGACGATGCCCTCTCCTGGTTCTCCACCTGTCTGTTTGACTGCTAGTTCTCAGTCTCTTTGATGTATCATTATGTTATCTTTGTCCTATGTCCTGTGCTTTCCTATACCCTGGGACGCTTTCCTGGGCCCACTTCTCCAGACTCACTTTCTTGGTAATCTCATCAGTTTCCATGGGTGCAATTACAACCTCTGTGTAGATAACTCCCATATCTGTATATCCAACTACATTATCTCATCTGAACTTTGGTTCTGCACCACCAACTACTTTTTTGAAATCTCTAGCTAGATATCCCAAAGGCATCTACAATTCCATTTCTAAAACAGAACTTACTATCACACACACCCTTCCCTCTTCCTAGCTTCCCTATTTCTGTTAAAAATGCCACTGTCCTTTCAGTCACCCAGGTTCAAAACATTAGACTCATTGTCATTTACTTACTTTACGTCGCAGCCATGCTTTTGCCGTTTCTTATAGATTCTATATCCATAATCTCACTTGCACTGTTCCCATTCTTTCCCATTTCTGTCCATGCATGGAGCTACCAACCTAGTTCAGATCCCCACCCCTTCTCCCTTGAACTATTGCAATGGTCTCTTAATTGGTCTCCCAGACTTTAGTCTCTCAGCTCTCTCCAATCTGCCTTCTGCTACCAAAGTGATATTCCTAAAGCATAAGTCTGGCCATGTCATTATCCTGTTCAAGAAGCTCCAAGGGCTCCAACATCCTTCTAGAATGAAAAATTCTATTCTGAAAGTCCTTCATAGCATGGCTTCTGCTTTCCAGGCTTATTGCACATTACTCGCTTTCATATACTCTTATATTCTGGCCAGTCTAGCCTGCTTGGTACCTGTCTCCATGCCTTTGCAGGGACAGTTCTGTATGTCAAGAATGAACTCCTTTCTCAACTCTACCTTGTTGAATTTCTAGCTTCCTTCAAAACTCAGCTCAAGTTCTACTTCTTTAAGAAGTTTGTCCTGCTTACCTTCCCCCCAGGTTGCTAGTGTCCTCCTCCAGGAATTATTTTGTATATATTTTTATTCTGTGTCTACATGTTCCCTCCTACCTATTGAAAGTAAGCTCCTTGAAAGCAGAAACTGTTTTGGTTTTGTCTTTATATCCCCAATGCATAACATAGTATCTAGCACATAGCAGGCACTTAATAAACGCTTGTGAATGAGTAAATGAAAGGTGTATACTGTATATCTTTTCTGTGTACCTTAGAAAGCACAAGTAAATTTTTAGGCATTCTGAGACAACTGCAAAACCTCAACTGAAGTTCAGTAAACCCAGTTTATGTCTGCTGTCCTTCTTACCTCATACCTCTCTGCAGTTGTGCTGCACATGTTAGGTGGACACATCTGTTTTCTTCCTTATGTGCTTCACAGCCCAAGTACTTAAACATGGAAATTAGACCTGTGTTTTCTTTTTTTTTTCCTCTGGCATACAGGTGGATACAGAGTATATCCTACCTCTGTATGGTAAAACTAAAGAGTTCAAGTGAAAACTGACTATGTGGTTGCCAAATAAATTGAAAGTGGATATGTTGTGTATCCATTTTTCAAGAAATACTAATTGGTATAGCTTATATTCCGTGACCTGAGTGGCTTACAGAAGAAATGCACTGTCCCTCCCTTCTAATATTCCTGATTACACTGCAAAGAGTATTCACGCTGTGTCACAGGGAGGTGTGTCCCCTTCCTTTCCTCCCTAAGAGATACTTACAATCAATGTAGTGGTATCTGTGTGTCTCACCTACAAGACAAAACAGTAAGAGAGATGGCAGAAGACAATGTGCCTCCTGTTAATATGGTTTGAAAGGGATGCCAGTTATTAAAGGTATTAATGAATGTTTAACCAAATGCTTCTTAAATTTCCCATTGATGGTAAATAGTCCACAAACATTGGCTGTGTCAGGGAAATAACTACCTATACAGGTCAAAATCCCTCCACCAAAATATTAATGAAGAAGATGCATTTTCTAGCCTTAAATGTTCCATCATCAGTAGAGGGGAAATAGTGTTACATCTTTTTTAAATAACCAAAAATATAAGCAATGTTATTTAGAAACTGCCTTTTAAAATGAACCCAAGTGCCCTTACCAAATGTAAGCATATATCCATGTAGATCACCACTATATTTCTCTTAATGTCACCTTTCTAAGAAATGACTTAGATGAGGTTTTGGGACTGAGGTAACAGTAGGAATTGGCCTGCTGTTTTATTACAGTAAACAATAGGGACAACTGGGCTAATTCAGATTCCATTAAGAATCAGTCTTCCTCTTGGTAATATGTTGCTCACTGGGTTCCCCAGCAGGCTGTCATAACATGATGCATTTTTAAACAGGCATGCTGATTTGCTGGGGGAAAAAAAAGAAGAAGAAGAAGAAGAATGTCCTTTCTGAACATAATATCTAAAAGTGAACGCTAACATCAAAGAATAAAGCAGTCCTTTCTGAACATAATATCTAAAAGTGAATGCTAGTATCAAAGAATAAAGCTTCTCCTTTCATTAATAATGTAGTCCCTAAAGCTAAACACATTAAAGAATGTATTCAAAACAGAACCTCTAAATAATTGGGTCAGTATTTTTGTCTTTATCTCTAAGATAAGAGTTCTGGACAGAAAGAACTGTATTTTAATATTTCTAGTGCGTGGTTAGTCTCTCAAAAGATTTTGTCACTTCTCTTAGAGGTGAGTGTCAGGTACCATTCCTGCTTCAAATGCCTTCTTCCAGCCAAAGCCCACAGTTATTGATGAAGGCACTGAAATGTTGACAGTTACAGTTGGTGCTCACATAGATTTTATGTGCCTCAGGATCTCTTTTCCTTGATTACTACTTTCTACTATAATAAAAATGGTGTGCCATTTGCTACCTCTGCTGAACAAGAGTATTTGTTTAGGTTGGGACTTCAGTCTTCTTCATTTTTCATAAGAAAATGGTATTTAAGTGCCATAGCATCTTTGTTTTGTAAGGTTATCTCGTTTGCTTGAAAATGGTAAAACGAACTCCAGTAATTACAAAAGCTTTCACAGGATTGTCGCCGCTTAAAATGTCTAAAGTGGGCTGGACATCTGCTAGCTCATCTTTCTGTTAAGTAATAACTCCTGAGTGAGTCATAGGCACATATTGCCCTCTGTTAAGATGTGTTCTAATCATCTTGACTGGGAAACTACAACTTCAGATGACTCTACATGAGGGATTCTGCTTTATAATAAATTCAAATCAGGGCCCAATCATCTCTGAATCATTGGGCTTTTACAGATCTAGACCGATTGGTTCCCATTTGGGATTTAGCACGTCTTATCATGAGTGATAAGGTGTCAAATAGTAATGCTAAACTCGAAGGGATTAAGCATTAACTCCCTGAAAATGCAAGGCAAAGACAAGGACTGTAATGATACCAGGTACACTCCGTATTTCCCAAGCATTTCCATATGACCTGAAGAAGAAAGAAAAAAATGATCCTTAATATCATGTTTGGATTATTTCCTCTCTACCATCTCATCTTGCTTTAATTTTGGAAAACATGTTGAATCTAGCCATCATCAAGAATCATGGAGCTTGAAGTTGTCTTTCAACAGAGCACCAGTTTATCTGGATTGATGAGACTCTTGTTATGTTTTATTACCAACTCCTTGATGTGAGGCAGCCATATCTATAAGTAGTCTTCATGGTTCTTTACTCCTGGTGTGTTGTCCTCTTTCCTACAGTACTTTGATAGAGCATTCAGTCCTCAGTGAATGCCATCTATATCTGGAATGATGAATCCAGCTGAGAGAAGAAGAGATTTTAAATTAATGTCTGGAGGAAGATCAGTTTTCTCTCCAGAGAGGAAACCAGCATGACTTGATTTGCAACCTATGAGGGGACTTAAAAGATTTAACATGTTCCGTTTCCCCAAATCACGTACATGTCTGTGTTCCTGGTTTCTAATGGAATCATGCAACCTTGTGGCAAATAACCAGGCTCTCACACAGAAGACAGCCATTCTGAAAGTTGTATTTATATGTGACAGAGCAGAAGCTTGAATAACTGATGAAGGAGAATTCTCTCAGGAGTAGGGCAGGGAAAGAAAAGCTAGTTTCCGAAGGCAAAGGAACATATGATATAAGATGATAAGCAGTAAGAAGTAATAAAGAAGACATTGGTACCAGCCCCTCCCTCTCCTTCCAAAAGGATGAAGAACCAGAAACCATTCTGGATATGATACCCAAGGCCTTGTTGCAGTATCCTATTTCTCAGACATCAGTTCATTTCTCAACAAAAAGAAGATCCAAATAGCATCCCCAGATTCATCAATCAGTGCTTCACTTTATGTTCTGGGTCTTTAGGCACCTGAATGGAAAATGCAAAATGGAATGGAAAATACCTGCCACTTCAGAAAGGAACATTTGAATTGGCAGCCTGGGTTTCTCATATTTGTCCCAGTCTTCCATAATGGACATGACAGCACCCCTTGGGTAAAAACTGTTTGTTTTCTTTTGAGTAGTAAGGAATTTGGGACATAATTTTGGAAGTGATTTTTTTTAACTTGCCTATATCTGGTCTCTAGGTTTCAACCCTGAAAGTCTGTAATCACTGGTGTCTCTTTTAGCCTCTAATAACCTGGTACTTGAAGAGGTGATGCATTTGTTTCTTTTACTGAAACACTTCTAGTGTCATGGGATGATGTTGTGAACCTTATTATGCTTAAGAAACCTGCTTTTGAACCACTTGTTATCTAAGGTCAAGTCTCTCACCCAGAAGATTTTATTCCGGTGGCACTTTGAATCCTGCACATTGTAGTTTTCTTATTGTTACCAGTGTTCTTGTTTTGAGTAAGCTGTAGGGGGTGGCAGCAGGGGTCATTTTGTTCTGGGGTTAGTTTTTTTTTTATTTGGGTTTTTAAGTAAACCTAAAGCTTTTTTTTCCCTGTTCAAAGAGCAATCTTGCATGCTATTCATCTTCCAAAGGATAGAAAATTACTTGCCTTTTCATTTTAGAGTAATATCTTCTATTACTCCCCACTACTCCTTTTCCTCTTTCCTATCTTTCTGCTGTGACTATTAACTTTTCTACCTTTTTACTCAGCGAATAATTAAGGGAAGCATTAGAGGGTTGTTTCAGATGGACTTTAAAAACTCTTGTGCTAAGGGGAGGTCTTATCTGTCATAAACTGGAAGCCTGAACCCATTATTTGATAATCTAGGCTAAAAGTCAACCTCCCAAGAAGGAGACCTAACAGGTAAGTGAGGTATTTCCTTGGAATCAAGATAAAGAAAATTTAACATGGAGTTCTTTCTTTTTCCTGAAGTTATTTGCAATTGTACTGTGAAAATATGAAATTTTTGCCCTCCTCCTCCACCCCCAGGCCTTTCTGAGTCTTAAAATTGATTGTTTGGCTGACTGGCTGGCTCTGTATGTGTTGGGTGTGTGTGTGTTTGTGGTCTGTGGTCTGTTAGGTTACTGATCTCTCAGAGTCCTGGGAGCCAGCTGGGAACACTAAGAGATGTTGCCAACTCTAATGACTACTAACAAACACTCCCCAGGGTGGGTTTATCCTCCAATCCATAATGGCTTCAAAACACTCTTCAATTGCTTCTTCCTACTGGGCCTTGAGTATTTGCCCACATTTTGTTCTTCATCAGTACCACACAACATAATATGAGAGAAGCCTGGACTGATGGAGAGTAGGCAGGGGCAAGGAACTTTAGATAGTTGTGCAAAAAAAAATTTATGTTTACTTTTCCTCATTTAAATAGCCTAATATTCTGTTATTATTTTTGCATTAACAGGTAATATAGAAATACTAGCAAATCTCAAAATACATGGATGACCAGTGCTTATCTTGGAATCCCATTTGATTTTTTAAGTTAGTTTTGCCCTGTAGTCTATATCAGTGGAATGAAATTCAAGTTACTTGCCAAGCTATTTTGTTATCAGCAAATATTTTTAAGTACCTGCCAAGCTCTGTGTTAGGGATAGAAAGAAGTATGACATTCTTGCTTTTGAGAGGCTTAGCACTACATAAGATAGAACTCATATATAAAAAGATGTTTACAAAAACTCATTCCAGGTCGTCCATAACTGGTGTGGAGATTGAGTACCACCATCTTACTATAAGAATTCAGAAGAGGGTGAAATTACTGATGACTGGGTTGGGTAAGACTTTGTAGAGGAAGGTGAGCTTTGATCTGGGTCTTGAGAGTAAAAATAGGAATTAGACAAATAGAGACTGGCATTGAGGGGAAAGGGGGTAGAGATTATCCCAGACAGGGGAAACAACCTGATCAAAAAGGCAGAGGTGGGAATATGCATATGGTGTGTTTCAACAATAAGCAGAACTGTTTGGCTGTGTCTAAGAGTTCAAGTAGTTTATAAAATTTGAAAGGTAAAGACCAGAATGCAAAGGTCCTTAAATATCAGGGTAAGGAATTTGAGGTTTTTAGAATAGAGGGTTATATATGGAAGCAGAATATTTCAAGAAGATTAATCTGGTCTCATATCTAGAGTCAAGTGGAGAATGAAAACTAATTCTAGTAGTTAAGAAGTTGTTGCAGTAGTACAGGCATGAAAAGATAAGAGCCTTAACTAGGTTGATGACAGTGGAAAGGCAAAGGGAAAGGATGGATGAGAAAGGAATCATAGAGGAAAGATCTGTCAGACTGGGTAACTGAAAGTGGAGTGGGAAGGACAAATTAAATAAACAGGACATGGAAAAATTTAAGCCTTGTTGAATGAGAGACTAATGACTATGAAATGGAAAAGTCTAGAAGGGAGTGGGTTTGAGGTAAAAAATTCTGTTTTAGACATATTACACTTAAGTTGGTGGTGGCGTATCCAGGGGGAAATATCTTTTAAAGAAAACCCATTTGGAGTCACCAAATGATCTCTCTGGTATGATGAATATCATTAGTCAATGCATAGACATTAGTGCTCCATATAAATCTTTACCTGAAAGCTGCACAAATCTAGCTATGTTAAAGTCAGTATATAAATTTTGTTTATCACCTTACAGTAATCTGGAGAATCTACATTGTTGATCTATTATACCTTGCTGTCCATTTCCTTTAAGTTTAGTTTGATTATGCCGGCAGACATTTTAACTATAATTTTCTAAAAGCTGAAGACAATCATTACTCACAAAATTAGTTTTTCATGATCTGCCTATTGGATATAATATTCTTTCATAAAAACTCATTATTTGGTCATGTGTGACCTCTTTCTCTCTTTCCCTTGTGAGGCTCTTACTGGATAGCCATGCAATCCTTCCTATGGGCATTTTGTTTTTTCTTTATTCTGTCAGAACTCTTTGGACTGTATATGATCAAATGGGGAGACTGTCTTTAAAAATCCAGCAGTGTCCTAGCTACTCTTGTCTGTTTGCTCTTATTTGGAGAGTAGACTTATTGGGTGGTGTCAGTTTGGCTATACCAGGTATATAAGAGTTGAAGGGCCATTGCTGTCTTTTTCATCACAGTACTTTCCTGCTCCCTTCCCCACAGGGATCCATATGGTTTTGGAGATGGTCGGGATGCAAGACGGGATCGGTCCCCAGTTCGAGGCAGCCCAAGGAGAGAACCCAGGGATGGCAGGAATGGCCGAGATGCCCGAGACTCCAGAGACATGCGGGACCCCAGGGATGCCAGAGACATGCGGGACCCCAGGGATTCTAGAGACATGCGGGACCCCAGGGATTCTAGAGACATGTGGGACCCCAGGGATTCTAGAGACATGCGGGACCCCAGAGACATGAGGGACCCAAGAGATCCCAGAGACATGCGGGACCTCAGAGATATGAGGGATCCCAGAGATGCCAGAGACATGCGGGATCCTCGGGATATAAGAGATCTCAGGGACCTTGGAGATCCTCGAGAGCTGAGAGATCCCAGGGAAATGAGAGATCTGCGTAATATTCGGGATGCCCCACGAGACCCTATGTATGACAGATACCAAGATGTGAGGGATTCACGAGATCCTGTCTATAATAGGTATGTGGCAATTTTGTATGATTCTGGTAAGATCCACTCTCTATATAAATCCTAAGAAGGGCAGTATACACATGCATTTGCACTCTAGGAACCAGGAATAAGATGAGGTTAAAGATGTTTGTTCTTACATAAGGTGCTTGTGGTAGCCACTATGGAAGCAGGAACTGTCCCTTGTAGTGGTGGGTACTCAGTAAATACTTCCTTAGTAAGTTAATGATGATACATTCATTGTGACTGAAATGAAGCATATTCATGTTTATGTGTGGAAAAAACACTGGGTGCTGATTTATATTATAGAACTTGGGTAGTTTGGGGAAAATAACAGGAGTAACATCTATATTGCTGCTTTTTATTGGAGAAGACTATGGCACAGATAATAATAGTGCTTTAAAGTTTGCCAGAAGCATTACAGATATCTTATTTGATCCTCGCAATAACCTGGGAGATAGATTTTATCATTATTCCCATTTTACAGATGAGGAAGCTGAGGCAGACAGGTTAAGTGACTTGCCCAAGGTCACACAGCTACTAAGTATCTGAGTGCAGATTTGAACTCAGGTCTTCCTAACTCCAGATCTAGTGTTCTCTCCCTTGCGCCTTCTAGCTGTCTCTCTTACTGGAGAGCCATACTTCCCTCCTCATGGGCATTCTGTTTTTCTTTGCTCTGTCAGAACTCTGACCTATGTGTGATCAATGGGGAAACTGCTTTTAAAAATCCAACTGTGTCCCCACTACTCTTGTTTGTTTGCTTAACTCTCAGTGCATATTTATTTACTTTGCAGGAGAGAAGAATCATATGACCGTTATCTGCGCGTGGAAGAGTATTACAGAAGGAAGGATGACACTTATTTTGATCGTTACAGAGACCACTTTGATGGACGAGCTCCCCCAGGCCCAGAAAGTCAGTCCCGTGCTAAAGGTTGAGTGTCAGTTTTCTTTAATAAAATTCATTCCTGTCCTATTTTAGGTAGATCGAGTAGGATGAAATGCGATAGCAGTTCAGCAGCATGGATTTAATTTACTATTTATTGTATTTAATTTGATTTTATAATTTAATAACTATTTATTGGAAGGGGGGGAAAGGGGAAGGACATCAATGTGTTTCTAGGTATTTGGTACACATAGTACAAAAATGTCTGTGTCTGGCCACAAGTAACTTAGAGTCTGTTATAAGACCTTTGTGAAGTTGAGAGAGGAGGTGGTAGAATGCTTTTTAAAAATTTAACATAACTGGCTCTTTAGTGGTCATTCTTTGGCTTTTCTTTGACTGTCCTTACAGAGCGTCTGAAGCGTGAAGAGCGTCGTAGAGAAGAGCTGTATCGTCAATATTTTGAGGAAATTCAAAGACGCTTTGATGCTGAAAGGCCTGTAGATTGCTCTGTGATCGTGGTCAACAAGCAGACAAAGTAAGAGGCTGTTTGGAGACTTCTCTCAAGTATGGACCAGTTACTTGAATGTTAGATTATTATTTAGAGATAGTGCCATAAGGACATGGGCTATATAGGTACTGGTGGTGGTGTGCCAATCCTGAGCTCCCCAACACATTCTGCCACGCTGCTCAGGCAGTACGTCCTGCACTCACTGAGCATCTATCACTGAGCTCAGCAGAGAACAAAGATTTCTTTGTAAAGGGCCATGACCTTGTAAAGCTGCTAGTCTTTAGTGTTACCAAAGCAAGAGAGTTCACTGCTGTGCTGTGCTCATCTCTGTTTAACATTCTGCTCATCAAAAGGCTGAGTGTCTGCTATGGGGCTGAAAGGAAAGAGCATGGTGGGATATAGATTTGGTCATTGCCATGTTATTTTTCATGAAGTGCCTAGAGAATGGCTTCTTATAATGCCTTATAGTTTGAGATTAAAGAGCTTGTTCCAAACCAGTGACAAAGAGAAGGAGGTGTAGAGACACTGAGCAGCAGGCAGACTCCATGCTGCACTATGAAAAGATGTTCACTTTAAAAATTTAAAGTGTAGACAGCTTTCTTTTGACCAAAGAAAACTGTGCATGGCAAGGCATGGAAGGCAGAGTAGGAGCTGAGAGATTTAAGTTTGAGTCCCAGCTCTGCCTCTTAATTCATTTTGTGAGTCTCCATTTCCCTTTTGGTAAAGTAAGAGGGTTCAGCTACATGGGCCTTTAAACCCCTTTTCCACTCAAAAAAAAAATCATATGGTTTGCACAGAAGGTAAAGTGGGAATTAGAAACAATTCAAGAGCAAAGATTTGTAGGCCATGAGTGTATACTAACCCAGGCCACGGTTATTTCCAGAGACTATGCTGAGTCCGTGGGGAGGAAAGTTCGAGACCTAGGCATGGTGGTAGACCTAATTTTCCTCAACACAGAGATGTCACTGTCACAGGCCCTGGAAGATGTTGGCAGGGGGGGATCTCCTTTTGCCATTGTCATCACCCAGCAGCAGCACCAAGTTCATCGCTCCTGTACAGTCAATATCATGTTTGGTACTCCACAAGGTATGGCCTCTAGTTAGAAGTTATAGGTCAGTCACAGTCAGAATGACTTCTTTTAACTCTCTATTCCTTATCCTGCATTCCTTCATAGACATTAGCAATCAGGATCAGAAGTAGAAGGGAAAGAAACTTACAGACAATGATAATTAATAGTTTCCAGTTCTGAAATGTGGCCAGCAAGGCCTTGGCCTTAGTGGTTTGCTAGGTAATTACATGATATATTTGGGATGAGAGCAACCATAAATTCTCTAGTCCTGTAGATGATACAGGTGGGGTGGGGGGAAGGATATAGTATACAACACCACTCTCGACCAGCTTGGTAAGCTGTGCCTTACCTCTATATTGTGGACTCATCATACTCAACCTCCATGGTACTGAAAAGCAATTCAAGCAGCCCAGACTAAGAGTCAGGAGATCTGGGACCCAGCTCTAGTTTCAGGTCTACTATGTAACTCTGGAAAAAAATCACATCCTTCTCTGGCCTGCTTTTTTCCTTATCTGTAATGAGAGTTTCATTACATGGTCCCATCTAGCTTTGACATTTTATGTATGCTGGTGTTCTTTGTTTTAAATTTGACATTTTATGTTGCACTAGTCAAAACTCTTCTGCTTCCCTTCAGAATATTTTCTTCATTTATGCCAGTAATTCACAGGAGTCTGTCCCCAGGAAGGAGTTCAGCTGATTGGGTATTTTATACCTTGATTGAATAGTCCCCATAACATACAGGACTGTATTTAAGAGGCAGCATGGTGTAGTGGGCAGTTAGGTGATACAGTGGATAGACTGCCAGGCTTGGAATCAGTAAGACCCAAGTTCAAATACAGCCTCAGTCATTTACTAACTTTCTGACCCTAAGCAACTCATTTAACTGTATTTGCCTCAGTTTCCTCATCTGTAAAATGAACTGGAGAAGGAAATGGCAAACCATTCCAATATCTTTGTCAAAAAACCCCCAAATGGGGTCATGAAGAGTTGGAGACACCTGAAGCAATTGAACAACATGGTGTAGTGAGAAGAGCACTGGATTTGAATCCCAGCTCCAGCACTAGCTATGTGATTATTAGCGAAGACATTTAACTCTTTGGCCTCAGCCTTCCTTGATTCTCCCAGTTGCTAATGACCTTCCCCCTCAGAACACACATAGAATTTTGTTTTGGAGCTCCATAATGCTTACATTATGTAACATTGTATAGCATATGTGTTGCTATCTTCTACCAAATTGTAAGTTCCATGAGGGCAGGGACCATCTAAATTCTACTTCCTCACTCCCACCCCACCCCAGCACAGGGCTTTGGTATTTAATAGAGTTTGCTGTTTAGACAATAGGCTTTATTGGAGTTCAGGAAAAAGAGAGATTGATGTTAACTGGAGCAGTAGGAGAAGACTTAGTAGGAGCTAGAAGTGAGTCTTAAGGAAAGATGGAATTTAGATAAATGGAAATTTAGATAAAAGAAGGAAGAGGTTATTTCGAGGAGAATGAGTAAGAGCGTGATGGTAAGGGAGGTGGGATTTATATGTCTTTCCCCTCATGACATTGTCTGAAGTTTTCCTTTGTACTTATCTCATTCTACCTTGTATCATAGTTATTTTTGTATTTGTCCTCCACTAGATCAGAAGCCTCTTGAGAGCAGAGTATGTTTTTTAGTCAGATTTTGTTAGCTGTTTTCAAGTACAGTTATCAAGTACAGTTTTTTCTTCCCTTCCCCCAAAAAAGATAAAACAAATCCTTCTAACAAATATGCATAATCATGCAAAACAAATTCCCATATTACCATGTCCAAAAATGCATGTCTCTTTGGAAGCAGAGGCTTTTTTGTGTCTTTGTATCTGCAGTTCTTAGTACATGGCCCCTCACATAGAAGGTACTTAATAAATTTTTTTTGTCTGTGAATCCCTGCCCAGACTACATTATAGGCTGGAAGAAAACTCTTTGTAAACTAAAATGTTAAAGAAACATTAGCTATTTTTATTTTTGGTGCATTTCTAAGGAACAGTTTAGACCCCAGAAAGCCACATAAGGGGGAATGAGTGGGTTAGGTTGACATTTTAATCTCAAGAGTGTAGTTAGTCCTAATGGAAGGAGTCAGACATTTGACTCAGCTCATGGGCTAGTGGCAGGAGGGGGCTGACATCTGAGCAGGAAGGAAGAAAAGATATTTCAAAGAGTATGGGGACAGAACATTCTGCTTCTGCTCCCCTACAGGTGCATTGGCCCCTGGAAAGGCCTCCTGCCTTCTTTTTACTTGCTCTCATTGATAGTACAACTGTGTATCTATTTGAAATTAGTGGGGTATAGAAAAGGAAGTTATTTATGTAACTTTGACTTTCACCATTAACCCTTGAGTCAAAAGATATTGAAACCCAGTTCCTTGCAAAGTTACTTATTCTCAACCAAAGTTATCATTCACCATTTCCTGGTCTTTCTTTGTTCTTTTTCTTTCCCATCACTATAATGATTTTCTTGTTGGTTTAGGGTCAGGAAAGACAAGGTGGATACCAGCCCTGAAACTACTCAGAACTGTCAATAGGAGGAAATAGCTCAAGTGCGTGTGTCGTTCTTTCTCGCAGAGCATCGTAACATGCCCCAGGCAGATGCCATGGTGCTGGTAGCAAGGAACTATGAACGCTACAAGACTGAATCTCGGGAGAAGGAAAGAGAAGAAATCGCCAGGCAGGCAGCCAAGATGGCAGATGAGGCCATTATGCAGGAAAGGGAGCGAGCAGCAGCAGCTCCCATGGAGGAGGGGGTACGAGGAGGCCACCCACCTGCCATCCAGAGCCTCCTCAATTTACTAGCTGATAACAGGTACCTCACTGCTGAAGAAACAGATAAGATCATTAACTATTTACGTGAGCGGAAGGAAAGGCTTATAAGGAGCAGCACGGACCTTCTGCCAGGTGAGCTGTGCGGCAGGGCCAAGGTGACGTTCTGATTCTGCATTGCTAATCTCCAGATTCAGATGGGAAGGGTGGCATTGACCCATACTGTGGGGGGAATGGGTCATCCTATATAGTTAAGCAAAACAAAACACATTGGCTATGTCTGAAAATGTATGCCTCATTTCACACCTCTAATCTACTGTCTTTGCCAAGAAGTGGAGACATTCTTCACTATTGTTCTTCTGAAGTCGTGATTGGTCACTGCATTGATCAGAGTTCTGAAGTCTTTCAGGATTTCTTTTCTTTATATTATTGTGGTTGTAGTGTAAATGGTTCTCCTACCAACCCCACTCTCCTTACCCTCCTTACTTACCTACATGTATTCCTGATGGAAAAGAGAGGTTTGCTTTGGTATATAACCACCGATTCTGATCCTTGATTTAATGTTTTGGAATAGACAATGTGGTGTAGTGGAAAGAGTACTGGATTTGGAATCTCATTTCTATTATTTACTCCCTTCATGACCTCATACAAGTCGCTTAACTTCTCTGGACCTCAGTTTTCTTCATCTGTCAAATGAGCAGGTTGAACTTAGATGATCTCTAAGGTCCCTGCCAACTCTAAGTCCCATGATCCTATGATAGAGGATGGGGCTGAGGCTGTCAGTTACTTGGGCCCAATCCAGTAATTTTCTGTGGGAGCTGGGGTGCTTTCTAAAAGTAACAAAGTGGGCCAATCCTTTGGGGAAGCTTGAGCCATAACTTTTATAGATGAATAATATAAATGTTAAGCTTACTCCACACTTTCCTTTCCCTGTGCCTCTTGACACCCTGCCCTTGCCTGAGACTTGAGCTAGAGCCCTTTGTTTTCTGTCTTTTCAGCTACTATTTCCGGCCAACCCCTTGGGGCAACTTCGGGCACTTCACTGAAATCCCAGTCCAGCCTGCCTAGCCCCCAGCCTCTTCAGAGCAGTCAGGCACTCCCTCCGGCTACACCAGCTCCAGCATCAGCCCCCACCCCACAGCAGGAGCTTCAGGCCAAAATCCTCAGCCTCTTTAATAGCGGTGCTGCCACTGCTGCTGCAGCAGCTGTTGTGGCCAACAGCAGTCCTACCCCTGCCACAGCTCCCCCAGCAGGCACACAGAACCAGAATTTTGCCACCATGGCTAACAACCAGTCTCAGCAGAGATCACAGGCTTCAGGCAACCAGCCTCCAAGTATCTTGGGACAGGGAGGCTCTGCCTGCAACATAGGCCCCAGGCCCGGGGCTCCACCTCAAGGGCTCTTCAGCCAGTCCTCCAGTCGCCTGGCACCTGCAAGCAATGTTGCTGGCCAAAGGCCAGTGTCCTCCACATATATCAACTTTGATAATCCAAGTGTACAGAAAGCCCTGGACACCTTGATCCAGAGTGGCCCTGCCCTCTCTCACCTGGTGAGTCAAACCACAGCACAGGTGGGACGGTCCCAAGCACCCCTGGGATCCTACCAGAGGCATTACTGATGCTAATCTATCAATCCTATCCTCCCTTCATCCCCACTCCTCCCTCTTCCACCCATTTACCACATTTTTAGAGTTTTTCCAAGGTGCTCCGTCCACCTGACACATCCATATTGAGTGTCATGAGCCTGTATCACCACCTTTCCTTCCCACACCCAGCTTTGTTGCTGATCTCCCTCTATGGGCAGAGTCTGATAGGCTCCAAGATTTATGGAGCAGAAGTGTTGGTGTCTGAGCTGAGTTGGCAATCAGGCGTTTCTTGGGCTTAGGGAATGAAGAAGCTGAGGCATGGATTTGGCCCTTCCTTGGGGCAGCTGAGATAAGTTCCTGCCCCACTTGGTTTGGAATGTCATTTGTTTATCGTGGTCCAGAGCCACTGCCTCTGCTCATTCAAACAACCACCAGCCTCCTTAGGAGGAGGCAGGATTGAAAGGAAAGCTTGCCAATTTAACACAGCACAAACCTATATTCTGCAAAACCTATTCAGGAGGGAATCAAAAAAACAATTGGCAAACTGGTTTGAATAAACACAGTATCACCAAAGTTGCCTCCTTCTAGAAAAAGAGGCAAAAGCTAGGAGAAAGGCCAATTTGTGGTTTAATAAAATCTTCCCCCAGGGTTTGGAGAAGGAATTGGCCATAGTGTAGCCATGAAAGCTTGTTAGCCAGGCCATTTCAGCCTGTTCAGGGTTTTTGCATTTAACTTAGCCATCCCTACAGACCAAATAGTTCCACTCACTAACAATTTAGCTCAGATTGTATGCCCATCCCCAAGTCCTCCTCCTGTAACTGGCCTAGTAGCTCTCCCATGGATAGTTATCAGGTGGAGGATGGTAAGGAGCCTATAACATAAGCAAATGCAACTCTAGAACCTGGCCTAGAATTCCATTTTGTCAGATTTTTTTTTTGAGCAATTAGCTTGGAGAAACAGACTGTTCATCTCAACCCGCTTGTTTGGTTTTTTGAGGAGAGGAGTTGTGGGCAAGGGATAATTTGAGGGCAGATGTTCTAGCAGTTGCAGTGCATCTTGGTATGGACACCCAACCTTCCATTCCCAAGTTTTGAGACTGAATGAAATTGTTGGTAGGTGAGCATCTGGCTTCTGCCCTCTGTGGGCACCAAAGGAAGCTGCTCTTTCCTTGGGGACATGCTTATTCCACCCCTGTGAGCCAAAGCCTCTGGGGGCTTGGGAGGGGCTGGGAGGTTGGGCCTCTAAGTGTACCAGAGCCTGCAGCTGTTTGAACATGGTTTAGAAAACTCAAGGTCCCTTAGATGGCAGCTTTTTATGTTCCAACCTGTTTGTGTTACATAGTGTGTTTTTTTTCTCTTTGAAACTCTTGTGTTGTTAATAAGATAAGAATATTACTTTTTAATTAAAGAAGAAAAATGCGAAAACTGTGTCTGTCCTATTGGATGGTTTTCAGTCTGAATATCTGAAATGGACCTCTCTGGGACATCCCACCATGGAATCAAATAATAGTATCACTGATTAAATGGCTTCAAGTGTTGCATTTCATAGTATCCTTACCCTAAATACCACCTTTCAGCTGCTCAACCAATCTGCCCATCCATCCAAGGTCAGCTGTTGTCTTTGGCAGAGGACTACATCAGAAATTTTTTTAACTTCTTCTGGCGCAGCTCACCTAGTGATAAACTCTCAATAACTACCTGTAGTAAATTCCTTGTTAGATAATTATATTTTATACTTAAAACATTTGTTTCAACTATAGTTTCTCCCAAGTGATTCCATATAGACTCTACTTGTGTTCTTTTGTATTAGGAAAAGAATTTTGGACTTTGTGATTCCCTGTTTTTTGTAATGATTAAGGGAAGGAGTTTCCAGTGCCCAATTCCTCACCTGCCTGAACAACTTCACCATTTCATCCTGACCACTCAAAAGGCAGTTAATAGAATCTTGAGCTGAAATGTGCTTTAGAGGTGATGTTGTTCAGCCCCTTCGTCTCATGAAGGAGGAAACTGAGGCTCATATGGGGAAGGGACTTGCTTAGTTCTGCACAACTAGTTTAGAGCCAAAATTCCAACCCAGATCTCCCAACTTCCAGTCAAGTGCTCTTTCCACTATATCACATTCATTTCTTTGCTGCTTTTGTTCTTTGTGCAAATGGGATGTAAACTGGCAAGATAGTAGAGTATCCAGAAAAGAAAGACAGCCCAGCTCTGGGAAGGGGAATTGGGCCTAGACCTTTCAGATCCTGTGAAGCCATGTCAGTATGAAAGTCTTTGCCCTTAAAAAAAAAAACAGTGTTTCCCTGAATACCTCTGCCTTGTTCCCTTTTCTTTCCAACATCAACTTGAGACACCACAGGGCGTGAAGGGTGTAATAAAATTGTTTTTATTGCATTTTGTGCAGACAAGAGTCTAAAAAATTAATACAGTAAAAGCTATAAAGCATTAAACAGGAGCATTCAACAGTTGAAGAGAGAACCAACCCCTCCCTTTTAATATTGGCACAAAAACACAAAGATAAATACTGAGAAGGAATGCTGAATATCCAAACACCTGCACACAAAATTAAAGGCAAGCCCAAGAATAAGAATAATAAATACTCTGGTTTTGGTTTGCAACCTGGCCTATTTACAAGGTCTTTAAACTTCTTTGCATTGCCCTGCACAGAGATCTCTAAACACAAAAGCATACTAGTCACTACAAGGCTATTGAAATATTGCACTGAGAATAAAAGTCACTTGGATGGACATAAAACATCAAGCTACAGTGATTATAAAGGTAATTTAATGAATGACTTGTGGGAACATTCATAACAAATATATTGCACATGTAGCACACAAAAGGGAGGGGAATTTTCAGGGGTCTGAGTTTTTTGTCATCCACAGAAACTCAACCCATGGGGCTGCTGCTTACTGCTGGGATCTTAGGTCTTGCCAGCTGGGGAGTCTGGGACTAGACAATGCAGCTTAGTGCCCTGATTGATGTTGGCACTGCCTTTTCCCTCCAGCCATCCTTGGGCAAAGGTAAAACAGTTTCTAGGACTGGTCTGTACTAGGGCTGCCTTTGGTCAGGGTGACCAGGACTTCGTATTTTTTAAGCTGTGTGGGGCTCCTACTTCTTGGTCATTTTGTGAAATCTGACCTGAGAGCCTTAATCTATCTTCATTCCTGATCAAACAACCTCCCCCACTCTCCATACATTTCTCTTGGCGTCCCACTAAACTCTGTTGCCTCAGGCTGGCAAGGGGGAAAGGAAGGAGAGGAGGAGGTCGAACAAGACAAAAGTAGTGTTCAGATGATCTTACTAGGTTCCAAGACCCTGCTGACTCCCAAACAAGTGAAGGAGAAAAGTACTCTCACAAAGGGAGGGGGGGTAGCTGGGTGGGGGGAGGTGCTCCTGGGATGGGGAGGCACTGCAGTCACAGAAGTCAGCGTGCAGGAGCAGAACCAGACAAACATGCAGTGCCTTCTGTTCAAACGGGCCCTCTCTGGGGTGGAGGTATGAGGAAGGGTGGCTAGCAGGGTCAGGTCTCACAGAACCACAGTTCCGTCTGTCTTAACAGGTGAGGACACATAGGGCAGTGGAGGAGTGGTTAGGGATGTGGAAGAGGCACAAGTGCCAAGAGGAGAATAATTTTGGGTGTCTGGGCCAGAAACAAGTGAAATTACAGAGCAAAGAGCACATTCAGGCCTCCTACCTTCCTCCCTCCGAAAGTGGAAGTCTTGCAGGAGAAGCACTTGGCCCCGAGGTCCGCTGCCCAGACTACCTATAGTAGGGCTCGAACAGGTTCATATTCCCCCCGACGAGAACTTGATGAATGGAGGCGGTACAAGGACCAAATCTGGAAGCTAGAGGCTGGATGCACGGCCTCTCCCACCGGCGGTAATCGGATGCCCCTACCCCCTCAGTTTCCCAAGAAGGAAGCAATCCCACATCTCTGAATCTGCTTAGGGCAGGTCCGCTGGCATTTATTCTGAAAACATGGTCGGAAAGAAATTGAAGAATGAGGGGAAGACTAGCTGTGTCTGAGGATGGGAATAGGATTGGGAAGAGGAACGCAGAGGAGGGACACGTAGGGGGCGGTGCTGGCCAGGCGCGGGCAAGTCTTTGGCTAGGAGCCCAGGAAGTGGAGGCTGGAGTTGAGGCAGGGGACAAGCAAGGAACCAGCGGGACTGCCCGGGCTACTGCTCCCCAGGTGAAGGCACCGGGGCGGGAAAGGGGGAACTACAGCTCTTGCCCAAGTACATAGTGCCCTCCACTAGGAGGGAAGTACTCTAACCCCTAAGAGGCCCCAGTCCCGGGTCGAGAAGGAGGGGAGGACAGTAAGCGCATCTCAGCAACTGCAGCCGTAGTGGAAGCTCAAATCCGCAGTGAGATGAATCCAAAAAAGTTGGAGACTTCTCTTCCCTGATTACATTTTAAAAGCCGAGTGGCGCTGAGGGGTGGGAGGAAAGGGCAAAAGGGAAAAGATAAAGGGACGGGGTCGCCTGGGAGATCCACTAATACCGGAGCTACTTTCTCGATCATTTGGGCGTAAGCACTTGGAGATCTAGATAAATCCAACCTCCAGGTTCGAGATTACTTCCCGTCCTCTGCCTCCTCGCCTTGCCCCAGAGCTGGAGCGCAGCCTCTCCTGTAGGCAAGCTCAGTGCTGGCATCGAGGAGTTAAGTTCATTGCGCTTCTAGTCACATAAATACGGTCACGTTAAAAATACACGGACTGTCTCCTGTATACTATGTACAGGGGCCCGACTCGGCCCCAGCCCCTCTCCAGACCCCCGGCACTGTCTGTCCTGTGGGTTCTGGAGATTCTCAAGAAGGCCGTGAGGGGATCGGAGAGGCCGCATCTCCGGCTGGCCGTTGGTTAGCTCCAATGATTTCTCCGGGTGAAGGAGAAGGGGGTAAAGCTGAGACTCAGGGACGGGGACTCCTGGCCCAGGAACTAGCTTGCGCCGTCGAGGGTGTGTCAAGACCTGCCCCGTGGCTCCCAGCTCCCAGTGCGGTCGCAAAAGGGAAGCAGTAGCCTCCACCCAGTCCAAGCAGCGCAGTCGATTTCTTCTTGTTCGTGAAGCTTCAGCGTCTCCTTAGTCTGGGCAGGGGCGGAGATATAAAAATGGGGAAAGGGGCGGGCTCAGTCTGTCTCTCGGGGCCCAGCCCCAGGTAAAGGGAAGCTGGAAGCAAGTCGAGTCCTCCTTCAGGGAGAGCCAAGGCTCCTGGGTTCAGAGTCCTGCGTCCTGGGGCTGGGCAGCGAGAGGGAGCTTGGGACACGGGCAGGGAAAGGGAGTCTATGTAAACGGCGGTGGCGGCAGGGACGGCGCAGACGGAGATCCAGTGGTCCAGGGCAGGTGGGCCCAAGAGCCCGGGAGGGCGTTCCCGCTCTCAAGAGTAGATGGTGATAACCTCACGGCCACCACCGCGCACTAACATCACCCGGTCCAGGTGCTCTGTGAGTACCTCGAGGAACTCCATGTCTGTGGGCAGGTTCGTCAAGGAGAAAGGCCGACGACAGTCGCTCAGAGAGCCGGGTTCCCCCTCCCACCGCAGTCCCTTAGCTCTCCTCCCGCTCTCCCAGAACTGGGGGGGGGGGGGGGGGGGAAGGGATTATTGCTACTGCCCACCAGGGGTCGCCAGGGCTGCTCTACAGCGCCCTGTCTCTGTCCGTGGTGCTGAACCCTAATGCCTTGTTTGTGGGCCGAAAGGAACTGTGATGAGTAGCCCTGGGGATAGATCCCAAGACCCAAATCCAATCCCTTGTCTATCCCGGAGCCCCTAGCCTATCCCCCAACCCAGGGCCCTGACTCTCTTTGGCCACCAGGATACAGTTCTCGTCGCCCTTGCGATTACGTGGTGGTCCAGGCATATTGAGAAGCACCAGCTTCGCGTCCTGCGACTTCTTAACGATGGCTTCATTCAGCCTCACAGCTGTGTGCATGCGTCTCACGTTGGACTGATTCCTGAGGGTACCCAGGCATTGGTATATGAGCACAAGAGAAAACAGGAAGGGCCTCCCCACCCAACCCCAAGTCAGGATCTCCCACAGTTAGGGTAAGAGGGTTTAGGGCCCAGTAATATATGTTGGGTATCCTAGGGAGAGGACAGAGGCAGAGTTGGGCACTTTGGGTGTTAGAATGGTTAGGGGAGCAAGGACCCTGACCAATCCCACCCCCCCAAAAAAGAGGAAAGGGCTCTCAGAACTTACAAATTCTCCCACTCACTTCAGGCAGCACAAAAGAAACAACAAGAAGTAGGAAGAGGAAGAGGGAAAGAAGAAAAGGAGAGGTTGTCAGAGCAGGGCCAGGGAGAGAACAAGGTGTTTATGTAGCCACCAACCCCAGCCTTGAGAAGAATGTACATTTAAGCTTCTTTGATGAAAAAAATGCACTTCCTAACACTAGACTTTCTGTCTTCAACAACTCTGGCTTGAGTGACTCCTTAATAACTCACATCTTTACAGCACTTCAAATTTTACAAAGCACTTTCCTCACAACAACCCTTTTTAAAAGTGAGGAAAATGAATCTCTGAAAGGTTGTGACTTTCCCTGGTCACAAAGCCAAGCTTTGAACTCAGGTCTCCTAACTCCAAAACCAGCAATCTTTCTTAAGTACCTGTAGCTTGAACCTCAGAAGGGTGAGGCCACCCTCCCCCCAGACCAGAAACCTTGTTCCCCCACCCAGATTCCCAGACTTGTCCATACGGCTTCATGCTGAAGAAATCCTTGATTCCCTCAGATGAGACTGGGCTGGGTCCTTTGTTTTTCTCAGCCACCACCTTGTCTTTAGTCCAAGTGAGATGCACCTTCTCAGGAGCAGCCTCTCCTCCTTCAGGCTCCTCCCCAGGGGATGGAGAGCTGCTAGGGAAGCTAGGTGCACTTTGGTCATGGATGAGCTGCACCTAGTTGGAGATTGGGGGATAGATGATCCTTGAGTTCTTTCTACCACACCTTATAAGGCCTGCCTCCTGCCACCTCTCTGCTCCTTACCTCCTCTTCTGGCTTCTCTTCACTGTCCCCAGCAGATTCCTCAGGGACGTTAAGCCGAAGGCGAGTGTTAGCAGGGTTCTTCCTCCGAATAGAGCCACGGGACTCATCTGTGATGCTTTGGATCTGGTGATTAACCAGAGATATGCTTATATGCTAAGGGCCTAAGCCTCAAACTCCAAGGAAACCTAGCACCAATACCCTATCATTCCTCATTCAGCTCATTACTTACATTAAGGATTACTCCAAATCCATACCCTCGGAGACAAATTACACAAAACTCATCACTGGCAGCCCAAAGGGATCCAATGTCCCATATATCAGCCACTCCAGTAAGACTCTATACTCATACTCCAAAAGGATCTGGTTATCATAATAGAAATGAATCAAACACCAATATCTCATAACTCACACTTT